GCAGGGGGTGAGTTCTTTGGTGAACTTATCCCATCTGTCTCGCCGAAGTTCTTTTACTTCGCGCTGTAAAGCTCGCAGGCGGGTTCGGTTCTCTTCTGAGGGATAGCGGTCATACGCTCGTGTGGCTGTATTCTTATAGCAGATTATATCATCAGGTAGATTCCATCTACGGTCGCCCGTATCCGGAACCTCCCTGGAGCAGTCCTTGACTGCCGACTGCAGGTGCTCTGTTAGCGCGTCTATGGCTGTAGTCGTCTCCTCGATAGATTCGACTACGTCCGGGATGCTCCAGGGTGGAGAGTTAGTCGACTCGACTTTCTCAAGTGGCTCCAGTCCGTGACCGTTTTAAATTGAGGCGCTCCGTCTGCAGGTGGGCTTCACGGGGCGGTGGTCGGAGATGAGTTCGGCATGGACCTATCTCAGCCTTAAGGCTAAGTAGGGCCATGTCGAGGATGGAGGGCTGATGAGCAGTGTTTGCCGGATAGTGCGTGAAGTGCACTGGGGGAAGGATGTCGAAACCCATGGAAAGCGAAAGGCGTTCCAGGGTGAGACCGTTTATATAAGCACAGCTCAAAGGCTGTGCTTGCAGTTTAGATCTCCGTATATAATCCCCCAGGTCCATGAGAGCTTGGAGGTCGGCCCGGAGTAGCTTTTTGGAGGGAGAGAGATAGGCCGATGCTATATAGATAGGTCGATGGTCTGTCATCGCGAGGAGGCATATCGAGGCTTCCATGTTTACGAGCGGAGGCGTGTCGATCGGAATGCACTGAAGGGACCTTCGGTAATAAATTAACGTACCGCCGCCGCGACTAATGCGGTCATTGCGTACGATATTGTAGTTTGCGATTTTTGGACCGCGTATTGAAGGCTTGAGGAAGGTCTCCTGTAGTAGGAGAACGTCCACCTGATGGGCGGTGAGAAACTCACGGACTTCGTCTCTTTGCCCTTGTAGTCCGTTAGCGTTGAAAAACGCTAACTTAACGGACCGAGGTTTGCATCTTTTCGCCCTTAGATCCATAATTAGTTGTTAAAATTGAGGATGGCGACTAGTACGCCGATGTGCTCGCAGACGGCTGCGATTTTCTTGCGGGTCGTTTATATATATATATATACTCGCCAGCGTCGATGGAGCTGGCGAGTTTCGCTACCAGTGCGAACGTTGCGATTTGAGCCTACGTTCGTTCCAGTTGCGAGGAGCGGGCGATGCCACAAAAGCGTGGGAGCGGTTGCAGATGGCATGGTGGGTGAGGGGGTCGCCTTGACGACCGGAGGTCGGGTTTTTTGGCGGGGGAGGTGGTGCAGCTGAGGGCTGCGGGATAGTAGGGGGCGCGGGGCGTGCTGCGCGGGGTGCCTGAGCCTTTGTGGCTTTTGCGGAGGCCTTGTTTTGGCCGGGACGGGGAGCGCGGGGACATCATAATAAAGATAAAAATGGTGGGGTCGGGGTGCCACTCACGCGAGTTTGTTAAAAAAATTCGCGCGCGTAGCAAAAAAAAGTGCCCATAATTTTGGCACCACTGCCCGGGGTAGGTCCGCTTATTTGGCGGTTATACTGATAGGCCAGAGATCAGGAAGACACTTCGGATGTTGAAGATAGATTTCCCCTCTGGGGAGAGATCTAGTACCACTAGTACCATGTCTAGTGGCGTTTTGGCCCTGCTGCGGTACATCCTGTGTACCTCGTGGACAAAGTTTTGAGAGCGGATATCTGCGAGGATGTCGGCAGTCCAGCTCCTTAGGGACGCCGCGTATTACTACGCGCAGTCGTTTCTCCTCCTCGAGGGCATAAGTGTGGTAACCCACACTGTTTGTCCTGAGGAAGGAAGTTAATATATATATATATATATATATATATATATATATATATATATATATATATATATATATATATATATATATATATATATATATATATATATCTAAAACGTGATCGCGGTCGGTTTTACGGCGTTAATAACAAAATCGTTGGCACGTTGGGTTTTAGGCGGGGAAGATCGCGCGCCCGCTTCGCGCGTTTGGTGCGCTTGGCACCCACAATTTGAAATTCCTCTTCCGAGGAGGAGGCAGTGTCGGAGGAGTCGCCTGTTTCGGCGACGACGTTGGGAAGCTCCATTTCCGTTTCAGAGGATGGGCGGTTGGGAGCAACCTCCTGAGGGGACATCGGCTCCGGGGTACTCACTAGGTGGTCCCCGGGGGAAAGGACAGCTCGTCGTTGGCCTCCTGAAGGGAGACCGCCGGCGAGGCAGGGGCGTCGTCATGTATCACATGTGCGCCCCTGCGCTCATCGAAAAATGCCTTTAAGAGGCACACATTTGGCCTTTAAAAAGGCCACAATGAGGAATGTCATCCTGGGACAGCACATGTTGTCCCAGACCTATAAATAAGACACCCGACTCTTAAGTCGGGTGCCAATCTAATTAAATTTATAATACGGACAATGCGCTACTATAAAAGTGGACACAAAAATAAGCCGCTACAAGCCGCGTGTATGCCTGTTGGGACCTGTCCAGGTATGAGTCGCCCTTTATACAATTAGTCACCGGCCGGGCGACGGTTACCCGGCCGCTTTGTGTACAGTTAACCGCCCCGCCGATATTGTGTGCCTATTGTTAATGTAACAATGGAATGTAGTCACCGGAGTGACTTGTAGTGCCGATATGGCCGGGGTGTCGAAAAATAGTCTCTGGCACCGGCTCCGGAGCTTGCGCTGCGCTTATGGCGCAGATAACACTTGTTAGTCCGATGCACTAGAGTTCACAACACTACACAATTGTCACTTGTAATTGTTCACATGCACTCACTGCACTCGCGACGCGACGAGGTGGCAGCGCGAGCCGTGTACGCGAACGGACGGCCGTTAAAAAGCGCGCGAACCTAAGGCGACGAACGAGAACCTCGTGCCCAAGTTGTTCTCTACTTTTCTTCGTGTCCGACGTGTTTGCGTATCCGCTGACTCCGTGCAACAAGGCAGCGCTACACAACGGAGTATTGATGCCAGTAGTGACGCGTGCGTCACCAAAGGCTATCGAATGAGCAATGAAAAATTCTGCCCACGTTGAGGTCGACCTGGTTGGGTATATTACTAGCAACCGGACCCTTGGTCCCATTATTAACAATCCCTCGCCCCCCCCCCCCCTCCAGCAGCTTCCCCCGTTGACTAGCATAAGGAACCATACTGAGCCACCTACATTCACTGACTGCCTGCAATGTATTTGAAGTCCATCTTGTGGGGAGCCGTTCTACTGTCCTACCTACGGTATTTAAAATAATAATAATCCGAATTAAGTGATGGAAACATAAAAAATAACAATTCAAAAGTGCTTGCTTATATGTATTTTTTAACGTTCCATTGTTTCTGCCTACCCTGATGAGAAACAGGTGCGATAGATATGTATGTATGTGTATTTATCTATTTTATTAAGATTAGCCCAACTATGACAATCGTGTGAATTCTATACATTTGAAATTATCTCCAGTGATATAAGGACTTAATATTTTATTGCGCAAATTTTCTTATTTTTACTTAACCCTTGCTAATATTATAAATATGAAAGTAAGTTCTTTTGTCACCTCATAGCGTCTAATTTTTGTGACATTTGGTATACATATACATCTATTAGGGATGGAGAAGATTGGTGTATTTTAATTTAATCTCGCGGATGGAGTCGCGGGGGAAAAAATAGTTGTTCTATAAAATAAACACTGCATCAAAATGTCATGTAAATTATTATTGTCTAAAACGCATAAATGTGTTATATAAAACAATATCAAATATGTTCGCATTATAAAAAACCTTATCACACATTACGCCCCAGTTTTTATAAATACAGAAAAAAAAACGACATTTGCATATAGACTAGTGCATAAATTGTCAATTTTATGATAATTATATTCATTTAAAAATAAATATAAACATAAAATTTAAAAAACAACATGTTAACACTGTACATAATTAATTTGTCGAATTTCGAATCGAAATAAAGTAAATTGGGAAACTGACGAGCTCCATTAGTTGGTAATAAATAAATAAATAATTGTATATAGACACGTTAGACATCATATAATTTGTACCTACAATTATCAGAAACACGATAATGCGTCATATAGCAATGAATATAAATTAATGAATTTGGCATTTCATTACTTTAGATAGGCGATTTAAGATAAAAAAAAATACAGGATCTTTCACTGATATAATGTTAATACAATAGCACGAGAGTTAACCTTGCCAATTAGAAAAATATTCATCAAAATTGGTGGAGAATTCCCAAAGATGTCATGTTAAGTCAAACACAAAAAATATGGTTCAATTGAGATAATTTTTTGAAGTCAAAATTAAAAAAAAAAAAAGGTTTTTCTATAGACTACAGGAACTGATAAACAACCTGACGGCCCGTCTGATGGGAACCGATTGCGGAATATTGCCTATACTGTCACAATGGGACACATTGTATTTATACTGTGAAATCTATGGAACAGATCCAGCTTATATACTTGGTTATATGGTTGTCACTTTCCATCAGGTAAACAATCAGGTTGATTGACATTTCAACCTATGCAAAAAATGTTGAGATATTTAGATATTTGTTACGTTTACAAAAACTAAATTGATTTCACAAAAAAATACACAGTTCATATCATGGATTAATATACAGCAAGGGTGGCCAACCGGTGCATTGCGACTATTAGTCCAGCCGATCGTGGCAAGGCAAAAAATATAATATTTTGGTAATCTAGCGAAAGATGTTCAGACGCAATGCTCACACTAATATAAATAAGTAGTTACTAAGAATAGTTTTCAGTTTTATGTTTTCCCCTTTAATAAAATAAGAAATACTACAGTACTACCTAATTGTGCACTGAACTATGTCGTTTCATTTGAGATTTCACGAAGTATGTAATTGGTAGATCGCACAGGGTTTCGTCAGTAGACAGCAATTCTTGAGTCCAGTCAAGTCGGCCACCCCTAACATAATAGGATAGTTTTAATCCCAAAGACTCACCTGTATTTAAGATCGGCGGCTGCAAATATATACTGTCCGTTGTACACAGCACTGAACAGTATGGGGAATATTATGAAGCAGTAGGTGAACATCTGGTACCGGCCGAACTGGCCCAGCTCCGCCAGGATCGGGTCCAGGTGCACTCCATCCTTGTGCTCGGTCATGATCGCGATCGCGATGGACTCATAATAAAGAGAGCGTCAACAATGTACAACGCACAGCGACCGTCTGCGAGCATACGGATCCAGCGCGACTTTATCGTGTGACAACTCGAGACACGTGCCTCGCTTGAGGTAGAATACAACACGGGAAAAATGCGGCCGAAATCTATTCAGCATAGGTAACTAACAGTCCAAGTGACAAGGCGCAATGTAAACCTCCTTGCGAAGTTACTGCGTCAAATCGTATACAATATTTGACGACTCATCTGTGACTAAATGTACTAGAGTTATAAAAATGTATCTAATGACAGTACGTAATTACCATGCAGGTACCCACGAAGAAATTATAAAATAATAAGCCGTAGAAAGGTATATCAAAGAAGAAGGAATGTCGAAAAATACAAGATAAATACTTTTAAATCTCTAATTTTTTAGCACATAATTTCGTTTATTCTAGTTATTTATTTTATGCTATACAAATAAGTACAGTTGGACTTTTTTTGTGTTCATCATATTTGTGTTAAGAACTTTTAATAAAATCATATTATCCATAACTTTAATGTATGCAAATTAAAAAAAAAAAAATGTGCTGTGTGTATCTGTTTTCCTTTAATACTCTTTCGTGGAAAATAAACAAGTTACACTGCCTCCCCGTAAAGTACTGAAATATTCTGATAACAAACTTCTAGACAAAATATTATAATTTACCAATATTTTACATGCAAAAATATTAATCATTTGTAAATAAAATTATTTTTTTGTTTATACAACTTAGAATGGCAAACAAGCTGACGGCCCACCTGATGTAAAGTGGTAACCGCCGCCTATAGACACGAGCAGTACCATGGACATAACAGAGTATACTGTTTCGCCCATAATACCCTCCATGCGTTGCCATTCATGAGAACTAATATAGACGAATAGTGTACCTTGTTATTTATTAATATGTTTGATCGTTTATTTAGTACCTTTTATTGTCTGATGGTTGTTCCAGTCATTTTATAGAGTTTTAATGGATTTATTATTGATATATTTTTAATCCTTTTTTCCCATTAACTGTCCACTGTAAATAAAAATAAAATAAATGGGGGGTTTTCCAGTAGTTGCCACTTAATGATTTATTATTGATATATTTTTAATCCTACAATTAACTGGGAGGACATAGGACTGTTAGCAATGGAGTTTGACAGCCCCATTGTTGCCCCTGGAAAACCATCGTGAACAATTCTTGTTGAATTTTCACAATGAGACGTTGCTGACCCACTCCATCCCTCCCTATTATCCTCACTGGTGCCACCCACGTATACCGATAGTGGGGTGGGGTTACCATTCCATTATCATCCATTAAAAAAAAAAAAAAAGAAAAAAAAAACTACCTATAATACCGAGATTCAACACGATGCTTTCCAGGGGGAACCATGTGGAAGTCGACCTGACAGGGTACATTGTTAGCAATGGTACTGGTAGCCCGCATTACTAACAATCCCTTCCCCTCATTTAATCACGGTTAAACGATTGAAAGTATTTGCATGAAATTTGGCACATGAGTATGTCATATCTTAAAATACAGGATATTTTATGTCTATGCGGGCAAAACCGCGGAAAACAGCTAGTAATGTAAACATTAACCTTGTGCGATAGTTATTAAATTTGGCGGCCAGTTCAGCCAATTGCGCTCACAGTGGTCCTTTCTAGTCGTTTATCTAATCTGAGACCCAAGATATTGAAAGCGGTCGCTACTATTTAGATTAAGTGCTTAGACGCAATCTTCACTGTCATATTATACTTGTATGCGCAGACCAGTGATTCCCAAAGTGACTTCGCGAACCAGTAGTATTTGACAGTCATCGTCACATCAGCTTTTAACTGCCCAATCCTGAACATAGGCCTCCCCTTTGAGGGGTTTTTGCCACGCTTGGCAGGCGAGTTGGCAACCGCAGTTAGGCTTTGGAAATGTTTTAGGACGGACGCTGCTGCTCATCCCTCGCCCTCCCTTAGTCGCCTCTAACCCACGACACCTACGGCTTCCCGTGGGTATACGTTACCTTCGTAAGGGGTGGCTTAATCTATGCCGGGAACACACGGCAATTGATAATGACAATGTGAATGTGAAAAAGACTCTATTTTCCGCGCTTAGCCTCTCATTTGGGCCGTTGTGCGTATGAGTTGTGGCTAGTACAGCCAACCTAGCTCCGCCCAGAAGCGCAGAAGCTTCCTGGGTCCTTCACAGGCCTCGGAGCGAACTCATCGTTCCGAGGATTTCTAAACGTTGATGGGCCACAGCCTCACATTCCAGGATTACGTGAGCAGCCTTTTCTTCGGCGTCGAAAAAGCCTCGACATAGAGGGCTGTCTGTGGCTCCTTTGATAATGACAAATGACAAGAGATATTTGACAATACTCTGGACCAATTTAAGGCAAATGTGAATAGGCTA